CCACAGGAATTTCTCTAATAATCAAAACACGAAACTACCATTCCACGAGAATTTCTCTCTTTACGCGGGAACTTCTCTCCTCGTACGAGAATTTCTCCCTTCTCCAACAGGAATTTCTCTCTTCCGACCGGAGTTTCTAACCATCCACAGGAATTTCTCTGATAATCGGAAGACTAAACTGACAGTCCACCAGAATTTCTCTCTTTACACGGGAACTTCTCTCCTCGCACGAGAATTTCTCTCTTCTCCAACGGGAACTCTTGTCCAACTGGAATTTCGCTCTTCCGACCAGAATTTCTCCGCATCCACAGGAATTTCTCTAATAATCAAAACACGAAACTCACATTTCACGAGAATTTCTCTCTTTACACCGGAACTTCTCACCTCGGACGAGAATTTCTCTCTTGTCCAACAGGAATCTCTTTCTTCCGACCCGAATTTCTAACCATCCACAGCAATTTCTCTGATAATCGGAAGACGAAAGTGACAGTCCACGAGAATTTCTATCTTTCCACGGGCACTTCTCCCCTCGTACGAGAATTTCTCTCTTCTCCGACAGGAATTTCTCTAATAATCGGAAGACTAAACTGACAGTGCACCAGAATTTCTCTGTTTACACGGGAACTTCTCTCCTCGCACGAGAATTTCTCTCTTCTCCAACAGGAACTCTTGTCCAACTGGAATTTCGCTCTTCCGACCAGAATTTCTCCGCATCCACAGGAATTTTCCTAAGAATCAAAAGACGAAACTCACATTCCAGGAGAATTTCTCTCCTCGTACGAGAATTTCTCACTTCTTCAACACGAGAAGTAGAGAAGTTCCCGTGGAAAGACAGAAATTTTCGTGCAATGTGAGTTTCCTGTTTTGATTATTAGAGAAATTCCTGTGGATTGGGGCGAAATTCTGGTCGGAAGAGCGAAATTCCTGTTGGACAAGAGGGAAATTCTCGTACGAGGAGAGAAGTTCCGGTGGAAAGTGAGAAATTCTCGTGGAATGTGAGTTTCGTGTTGTGATTATTAGAGAAATTCCTGTGGATGGGGTGAAATTCTGGTCGGCAGAGGGAAATTCCTGTAGGACAAGAGAGAAATTCTCGTGCGAGGAGAGAAGTTCCCGTGGAATAGAGAAATTCTGGTGAACTGTCAGTTTGGTCTTCCGATTATTAGAGAAATTCCTGTGAATGGGGAGAAGTTCTGGTCGGAAGAGGGAAATTCCTGTTGGAGAAGAGAGAAATTCTCGGACTAGGAGAGAAGTTTCCGTGTAAAGAGAGAAATGCTCGTGGACTGTGAGTTTCGTCTTTTGATTATTAGAGAAATTTTTTTGGATGCGGCAAATTCTGGTCGTAAGGGAGAAATTCCTGTTTGACAAGAGAGAAATTCTCGTACGGCGAGAGAAGTTCCCGTGGAAAGAGAGAAATTCTCGTGGACTGTCAGTTTCGTCTTCCGGTTATTAGATAAATTCCTGTGGATGGGGAGAAATTCTGGTCGGAAGAGAGGAATTCCTTTTGGACCAGGAGAGAAATTCTTGTGTAAGGATACATATTGTTGATGGCGGCCGGAAAAATTCCTGCTTGCTAACAGAAAAATTCTCGTTGAAGTTGTCGTCTGAGTGTAAGTTCTCGAATTTAGCGAAGTCTGATGTCAAGCGGCGAATAATAATATACCAGACCGTATGTGCTGTGAAAATTGTGGCAGTTAAAGAGAAATTCTCGTGGGGAAAGGGAAGTTCCGGAATTCAAAGAATGCGCACACTGCTGGAACTTAAAGTAGTTATCTGATCATCATTACTATTGGATAACTCTATTAAACTATTAGTATGATGAATCTCTCTGATCTAAACAATTTAAGAAGGACGAAACGGTCCCATGTACATTAGCAAATATGGTAAGGTACATCAGAGTTTGGTTTTCTATTCCCAGTTCAAACGTGTCTTCGTTTTCGTATATACAAACAAATGTGAAATCGTAATCAACTGTGTAGTGATATCAGCTGTAATGTGAAATCATCTGTAAAAAGATTAACGAAGAACAAAGGAAACCATTAAAAATGTATAAAACACGTGTCTTACATATCTTTTGCAGAAGCTATTAGAGCAGAACACGATGTATAAATTCTCTTGGGTTTAAGCGGCGAAGTGTTTAATTCACAAAACCCGCTGCCCGGCTTCGTTAAACTTTGTATTAGCACATATTGTAGAGTTTTTCAAGACGCATCGAATGATGGATGCATGGATGATTAGAGCCTCTCTTTAGTCTCATGGAAAAAAGTGATCAGGAGTTTCCTTGTCGTGGCCACGATCTATGGAAAAGTCTAGTATTAAGCTCATAAAACCTGCTACCAGGTTTCGTCAACATCGGATATTATCGGATGAATTAAATCAAAATTAGGTGTTTCATTTAGCTGTATGTTAAACAGCACCGCCAGTAAGATATATGCCTGTTACACGTATCTACCTACCTACTTTAGAACAATACTCTTGTATTTCAAATGAATTTGATTCAAATAATACTAAGACGCGCACAATGCAAAATTAAAGCAACATTTTTCTATTGTTAAAAGAATTGGGAAAAAAGCGAGCAAGTCACTTTCACTTAACTTCCTCAGTTTTGCTCAAATTTGTGCAAACAACCTATAATAGACTGAAAAACATGGAGAATTCGGTAGAGATACTTTCGAGATCTTAGAGGGTCTTAAGAGATTTTATGGAAAACTTTTCTAGAAATCTTCCGTTTTCAATTGTGACAAATGTTACTAGTCTCTCCGTGTTTATGTTCTTTCAGATGAGCTATTGTTTGTTTATTTCTATTTTGTTTTATAACTTTATACTTTGTTTTACGAACTTTTACTTTCGTTTATTTGATACTGTTTTCATTTCAAATATAATACGTTCTTCACCACTTAAAGTAAAGAGAAAAACTAATGGTCAAAATGTAATTCACGGAATAACGAAAATATTATTTTTTGTTCACTTATAGTACAAACGGTAGTGATACAGACAAAAACACGTTATTAATTCAGATCTTGAAAACAGGTTATTTTCTACCGACTTTCAGGCTCAGAGATGCGTCAAATCTGATTTGGGTTTTGAGTTTCCAAGTTGGACATCTTCTTGTTTAGATGATACTTTAGTTTTATTTAAGGGCAAAATTAACTGAGAGTTCAATAAAATCTAAAAGTTTTCTGGCGACCGTTGGCAAAGCTAGTAAAGATCCATTATGCTCATTTTCAGCATTTCTACAGTCGATTAGTTCTATCCTAATTTTCCACGACAATACTTTTATTCAATAAGATTCGAGATATTTCCACTTCGCTGGACTATTAGACATTAGACGTAGACCATATTTAATTTTAAACCCTTCTACCAGTGTTTTAATATCTAATAAGGCAAATCCTCCATCTACCTTTTTTCCAATTATAGTTTTAAAACTAATTGTGGGGTGTTTCCCTCGCCATACAAATGCATTTGTGATCGTTTGTCAATCGGCACACCTAAGAACTGGCACCAGTCAAATTTAACTTGTCCTTGGAATGCTGGTGGTGGTAGCCAGTCACTAATCCAGAAAACTTTTGTCGTTGAGCCGGTCGATTTCCAGGAGCATACACACTAACAAAAACGATGAGAGTATTTTTAACCATCAATTTGATGAAAGTAAAGCGCCCCACATGCTCCACTCCGCTACCCACCACCTGGTGTTTCTTTTTTGGCGTTGCCAGAACACCACCACCCGGCCATGTTCCAAGGCTGCACGTAACATTATACTCATTAAATATGCTTTTAAAAGATTCCAATTGCTCTGATTTGGTCATATGTAATTCCTGAAGAAGAATAACATCGGAGAGAATATTATCAACACAAGCCCTAAACTTCATTCTCTTCCGGTAAGAAAAGCGGCTGTTCATCACAGTATTCAACTGCTGAACCACTGGTTATTGGTAGCCCTAACCATTCTGACGAGATTTGTCAAAACTATTCGGGTGAATTTTGACTTCGACAAGCAAGAAGTGAATAAGATACTGAAAAGCGCTTGTTCTCCAGCCAAAATGGCTGGCGTATTCGCTTTGTCTGTAACTCAATCGGACCTCGATTTCTTTGTTGAATTACCTATACATCAACTTGGTGGCAATTATTAGAGCCTACCGTTGTCTCTCGCGCTCTCCTAATCGGCGTGAAACCAGATCATCTATCAGCCTCGTCTGTATTTACTTTTTCAATAATAAAACGGGACGGTCTAGTACAGTAAGTGCGATATTGGTAGGATTCGTGATTTCTTAGTTGTTCTCGCTCTTCGTACGCCTGTGTGGTCTTGATCGCTATTCTTCAAGCTCAGTATTGCCTCATGGGCTATGATGCATCGGCTCATGCTACTGAAGAGACAAAGAAAACCGACATCGGTGGTGTCTGGGGTATGGTCAGTACAATTCTCGCTTCAATCGTTGTCGGTTGAGTAGCGCTCATTACCTTTTCCTTGGGTATACACGATCACGAAGCTACAATAAATTCATTGACCGGATTCCCCATCACACAAATTCTACTCGAGAATTTCGGTCGAGAATTGACAATTTTCTTCATGAGTCTTCTTCTCATGACATGTTGTTTCTCTTAGTGGCGTAGCCAGAAAATTGCCATTGGGGACTATAGCAAAATGTATATTTAGTACGCGGTAAACGCGTCATGTGTTATTTCACTGGCTTTCATAAAAAAAATAGTCGAAAAACAACCTGAAATTCGACAATCAGATTGACTTTCGATAGTTTGTCGAAAAATATTGAACACAAAACCACAATGCCGAAATTCCGATGACGAAATTCCAGCTGTCGATATTCCGTTTTACCCTGAAAATATGTACGATTTTCCAGCACAATAGGGTGTGGATCAGTATCTCGACCGTAAGTCAAAAAATAATTTAAACAGGAGAGATAGTTTCACCTCATTTTGCACTTTAACATATACACGTACCCTGAATAAATAAAATATATATTTAAAATCTTACACTTTGCATGTAAGCTTACTATTGTTTTCATGAAAATCAGATCTTGAACTCTCATTGAGATCATCGTCTCTTTCCACTATGGCATTCGAGCGCGGTCGACACGGAAAGTCAAAGACGAAATGTTCGTTGTCATAGCAGGATACGTCTGATGGTGGTGAATATGAAAAGTTGACATGGAGATTTTCCATTGTATGAGCAGCGATTTCAAAGGCTGAGGTAGCTTGAGGACCAACACTTTCGGAGAATGCATTCGCTCGTGGCCGACACGGAGATCTCGGTGGAGTCATCTCACTGTCAATGATTGCATTTGAACGTGGTCTTAAAAAAGTGCATTGTTTGATTATATTGATGGTGTTTATTAAAGACCGAATAGTTTGTGTCTGCTCGTCATTTTCGCCGTAATTTGCACTGCAGATGCTGACACCCTTTTCGAAATAGTCTAACGACTTAGAGTAATCTTTCATGTCTTGGTAAATAAGACCAATGTGTTGATATATTTCTGCAATTTTGCGGAGATCTTGTGGCAAAGTTTTCCGTTGTAAATTAAGTGCTTTCAGATTATAATTAAGAGCATTATCAAATAACCGAGAGTCATGAAACAATAAGCTCATTGATCGAAAACATCTGATCATAGCAGCTGTATTCTCTACTGGTTTACTCCTTCGAAGAATAACTACTGCTTTACTGTAATAAGAAATCGCTTGTGTGAGACGATCACACTGAAGCAAATCGCCCATAATTTCTAAGATATGGCCGATTCTAACATGATCTTCGCCGAGAATCTCAGTTAGTAAAGCTAGTTTCTCTTGACAGAATGTCATAGCTACATCCAGTTGTTCTTTCTTCTTGTACAAAGAAATAATCGAGTCAAAACGTCTCATTAGGTTTGGATGATCGCCGGGAAAAAGCTTTTCTTCCATCCCAAAAGCAAGATGGTAATGTTCAAGCGCTTGATTGTAATCAAGCGTGTCTTCATAGATCGAACCAATATAGCCCAGAACCGATGCAATCCGTGGGTGATTTTCAGGAAGTACTCGTTGGAACATTTCATATGCCGCCTCAGTGTATTTCAGAGCAGTATCGTAGTTGCCTTTCATCTTATGGAGCGATCCGACATCGTTCAGAAGCTGTGCTTTGTTTCGATGATTACTTGAATAGGCTTTGTCATAAATAGCAAGTGCTTTCTCATAGAAACTCATTGCGTTGTCATAATCACCGATATCCTTTTGTATATTGCCAATGTTGGTAAATGAGATGCCGAGACGATAATCATTCGATGGTAGTCGATTCAGACGCAGTTCATAAGCTTTCTTATAGTTTTCCATTGCGATTTCAAATTTTCCTTTCCTTCGATGTACGTTTCCAATCCCATCGTAAACACTCGGAACATCCTCGTGATGGGATGGTAAAGATTTCATTAGCATGTGAAAATACTTTTCAGATTTTTCTACTTGTCCCATTTCGTACAAAAGAAGACGGCCAAACAAAATAGTCGGGCTTATCTCTTGTAATTCTTTCTCTGTTGTTTTCATATACTCTTGCAGTTCATCTGTACCTTCATCCGTCGCAGTCAGTTTTATTCTCCATAAGTCTATCTCAGAATCGAATTCAATCAAATCAATTGTAAACACTGCTCCAAGGCTAATCAGAACTTCCTGTTCCCCTATATCCGGGCCACCTTCATCAATTCCATTGTATTTATCGATATCAGCAAAAATAATTGATTTTACAGATGGATCTATGATAATCTCTATGAAAATCTTTACGACCTTGGATGTAGTTGTCGCACCAAAAATAAATTCAAGCGCGGTTTCTTTGCAACGTGACGTAGAAATGAATCCATTCGTCGAAATTAAAACACCAACATTGTTCTTGAGCGTATCCAATTCTTCTCGAGATATTTTCTGAGCTCGATAAACTGTCAATGGTTCTTCGATCTTCTGCTTCCGCCATTCCCCTTCTAGCTGAGCGCAAAGGTCTTGAATGTAAAAGCGAAATAAATACAATAGATCAATATCTTCCGTTCGCAAAGCTTTATTCACTGTTCGGTAAAGGAACGAGTCTGCTATGTACCAATCGATCGCTCTCGTGGATACATAGCTGTGACAAAATTCATCAATTTTTTTCAATGCTGATTGGTTGTCACGATTATAGTCAGAGCATTTTTCAAGCATTTGTTTTCTTGCTTGATGATCATGTGGCATTTTTTTCAAAATCAACAGCAGCAGCTGATACCAGAGAAATGATGCGGCATGTTTCGAAAGATCTCGAATGGTTTTTTCTTTCTGTCGATCGAACAGACTAAATCCAACTGTTTCTGTTGTTAACATCCGAATTTTACGACGAATAGCTTTGAACAAAGACTTGTGTTCGATATATATGCCGACAATTTTAGGATAATGATCCTGAAGAGCTGCATATTTCTCCGCGTTGGCAGAAAAAATAAATACAGAATCCACAGCTAGAAACGAGTGAATCGTAGGAAAAGTAGGGCAAGCCGTGACTGTACCGGAAACAACCAAGAGTATTTTCTCATTTTCAACACTTCGTATAAATTCAGCGCACTTGTGCTGATCATGATACAGTCGAAATGGAATATCTAGTCCCTCACGAGGACCATGGGCTTTTTTCGAATCCACTGAATCATCGACATCGTTTTCCAACCAACACAATAAAAGATTTTCTTCTTCAGCAGATGTCATTTCATTTGCAACAGTACTGAAATGCAGATCAAAAAATTAGACTGAACTGTTACTTTATTTCTAGTTAACTCTTAGAATATTCATTGGCAAATTGTTTCGAAAATTTATCGATCAGACTCGTGGGAAATTTGTCTAGGACCTATTTGACTCATTCCACCGGTTAGTGCTATTTCGACACTGAAGTTTATGTATTACACAGGATTTTTCCTCTGCAACAAGGCCGAAAAGGACTGGGCTTTGAGGCTACATCTTTTTCTTTCTCCTGGCTATTTTTACACCCGTGATATCGACCTACTTTCGCTCTTTACCTACGTTTAAAGGTAAAAGATATACGTTTTTTAAGAAATATAGACAAAAAAGAGAAAGAGTATGTAATGAATGACAAACGAAAATAAAACATTTTTTTTTCACACTAGGGATTTTAGAAAAGAGAAAAACAGAACGACGCATATACGGTAAGGACAATTAGTCATAATGTGTCATGTCTGTAACTTGGCATAAGACGAAAGAAAGAAAAACGAGGAACCAGAACTGTATGGATTTTAGATAAGAGTGATAATAGATCAAGTGTGTTCAGTTGGTTTAAGCTTTAATCTTGAACCAGAACGAAATCGAGAATATAAATTCCCATTATATCATCCTGAAACTTAAACTATCAAAACATAAAATCAATCCTTGCACGAAGCTAGGATCGAACGCTGTTCTTTCCTATATTCTGCACAATGATTGAAGTTGTGCAATGACTCGATGTTATCCTTCAGTGTGTTCAGTTTCTGAAAACAATCCTGAAGAACGTAGAACATAGACTATATTCTACGCGTAGATATAGATCAATATCATTCTCTCTTTTCACTTTTCCGCTTTAACCGAAACAATATTTTGCAGAAGGAGAAAGAAAGGGAAAAATCTATTCTGGTTACAGAATGGAAGAAATTTTCGTTTTGTATTATCAGTTGCATAATTCAATTTAATCTAAAGCTAAATTATATGTTTTTCTCTAGCGAACGAAATGAAAGCGAATAAATTTTATCTTTTCGTCCAACTGTTGATTTACGTTTCTGTGGAAGAAAAATATCAGTTATAATGAGTTTAATGCCAAATCTCTTACTTAACCAGTTAAATAGAAATTAATCAAGGAGTGACCCTTTCTAGTTTTTATGCATCTGACGAGGGAAGGTCACCAACTGCCACCAACCATCGTTTTTGAGACGAAACCTGGGGTACAATGGATAATCGAGTGTGCTGAGTCCGAATATCACAATGGTTTTTCACCAAAGGTCTCTGGAGACCCCAGTTTTTGGAAAACCAGCTTTCAGAGACTCTACAAAATAGCCAAAGCCTTTCTTAATAAGGCCTGATTGTAGCGTGCACATTTCTGATTAAAATGAGATATCTCCCAGCTCTACACGACCTTGCTTTGCAAAGTTATAGAATTTATAAGAAAAGCCCTAAATTATTTTTTTCTTATTTCCGTTACTTTGAGCTGACAATGAACATTTAGGACTTTGTTGTAAATTCTATAACTTTGTAAAGAAAGGTTGTGTAGAGCTGGAAGATGTCTCATTTTAATCAGAAATGTGCACGCTACAATCAGGCTTATTAAGAAAGGTTTTGGTTATTTTTTACAGTTTCTGAAAAACTGGGATCTCCAGAGATCTTTGGGGAAAAACCATTGTGATATTCGGATTCAGCACACTCAATTACCTATTGTCCACTAGGTTTCGTCTCAAAAGCGATGGGACAGTTGGTGGCCCTCCATTTTGTGAAAGAGAAAATGTTCGACGATATGTCGAACTATTTTTCAGAAACAGGGCCCCTCTCCTTTTTGAGATAGAGGATCACTAATATCATTGCTTAGCTTCATCAAAAAATTGAATTTTTATTCTTCTTGGGTAGAGTTACTTCACTTTTAAATGGACTTTTTTCCATATCAACACTTTCCAACTTTTTCTTCTGGTCATGGTAATTGTCGAGAAAATGAAGTTTCACATTGATATTAAGACAGACACTTCTGAAAATATCTTTAAGTTAAAACCATATCTAAAAGTTTAATTTAGATATGGTTTACAAGATGTATGTTTGATTTATTAAATGTGTATGTTAGTAATGTAAAAGGAAGGGTTTTCCATCAAACATACTTTAAATTTTATGCAATATTTTCATATTTTTCTTGAGATTTTTTAACCGTTATGATTAAGGGTACGCTTCAAAATACAATATATTGCTGTGAACATCGTTGGTTATCGTTTGAACAGAAATGGGCAAGTCCGAGTCGACTCGAGTCACATTTTTCTGTGACTCGAACTCGAACTCGAGACGAAAGACTCGAGAATCTTGATAAACTGACTCGAGTCCCTATCTAGTCAGTCACGTGCAACTTTACATTATTATGAGGATGTTATTTGTTATAGACTACCAGAGAGAGAGAGAGAGATTTGAGAATATTCTAAATAGAACATTGCGTCACATGAGAGGACTGAAGACCTAGAAAACGTTTTTTATGTGAGTTGAATTATATGGTGCCCATCTTTAGATCCAACTTGCAAAAAAGAGTCGAGATAACACCTAGGAAGTGTTCAGCAGAATGAGTAAAAACGAATGCTTAAAACAACAGCAGTGAGTAGTAA